AAGCGTTGAAGACGGATCGCGAACTGGAATGACGGCTTCGCAAGACAGACGTGGCCCCACTCGCACCGTGGACGTTTAGCGCCTTGCGTACCACGTTCGTCGGCACACCGTTAATCGTCCCAGTCCACGCGTTGATGGGGGCAGGGTCAAACTCCTTCACGGCCTCGTTGTAAGCCTTTCGCCCGTCGTCCTGGCTGAGGAGTACGCTGCCCGCGATGATAAGGGCTGGACCACCGAGGGCAAGGCAACAGGCAACCGCCACAACGAACTTGAAGCAATCCTCAACCGCATCAAGGATGCCGCAACACATTTCGAGAGGCTTTTTAGCACGGGCTGCAAAGAGGGGAAGAGAACAAGCAAGCAAGCAAGAAGTGCGAATAAGAGAAAGCACGGACAAAGACAACCAATCCATACCACTCGGCACATTGCCGCTGGGCTCCGCGGCATTACGGTGGATTCCCGGCTAAGCATTCCGCATGTCGCAAAGGCATTTTCTTTTCTTCATACAAAAACTAATTGTTCTTTCGTAGCACAGACCCATATTGAGGAGGAAAAAACAAACAAAAAAAAAGACGCTAATAAAAAAAAGACAAACACCTACTCCTTCAAAATAAGAATGAATGCCCATAGAAACTTCAGGTGCAGGTATTCAGCGAATTTTTTTGTTTTAAAAAAAGAGTAGCAGAAAGGTATATCCATATAATTTCGCCAAGTAAAACGATGCATACTTATTCTTTATGTCATTCACTCATTTATTGCCACTCTCTCCCCCAGAAGCATTTCGCGGCCCATATCCATATAATGGTGGTGGAGGTTGATCTTACTTGTATCCCTGTGCTGGTGCCGGTTGACCATAAGTGTATCCCTGTGCTGGTGCCGGTTGACCATAAGTGTATCCCTGTGCAGATGCCGGTTGATCATACGTGTATCCCTGTGCTGTTGCCGGTTGACCATATGGGTACGTTGGTGGAGGCTGACCATACGAGTATCCCTGTGCTGGTGGAGGCTGACCATACGAGTATCCCTGTGCTGGTGGAGGCTGACCATACGAGTATCCCTGTGCTGGTGGAGGCTGACCATACGAGTATCCCGGCGGAGGCTGAGCATATGGGTAGTTCGTTTCCATTTGCTGCGCGGGCTGTCCATAAGAATACGGTGGGACGTTACCGGGAATACCCGATGTTGCCGGCGCGCCAACTGGTAACTCAGACGGCCCACCTGACGGCTTGTTCTTTCGCCGCATACAGTAGCAAATGATCGCCACGCAAACACCAATTTCCAGCAGCAGAAATAGGGAACCAAGGACAATGAGTACAATACCAACAGTACGTGGTTTCGGACCGAATTTGTCAGTTCCTTTTGTCGCACGCTGCAGAGCGATGTAGGGGTCCTTGTCGCTGTAGAGGCGCACCGTAACGCTGCCTGGCGCAGTCGGCTGATAGTCGTTGGCAAATGCACCGAAATCGTACTTGGCACTTAGGAGGGAAGTGTCCTCAATGTACTTTCCCTTGCTGATCTCCTGCGCCACAAGGTACAGCTGAGTGAGATATAGTGTTTGCTTGCATTCACCGCAAATACTGCCTAACACACACGGCCCAGGCAAGTGAGTAAAGGTTCCACCTGATGCCCTGCAATTATCTTCGAATCGAATAAGAGCAGCATTACACACGCAATTCCTGCGTCTTCCACAGTCGGTTGAAGAACACTCGTACTGCGACCTCTTCCTAATCTTGAAGAAGGCGTATCTAGTGAAAGGGGCGACAGTGGCAACGTTCACCGAAACTGGAAGCGTTGAAGACGGATCGCGAACTGGAATGACGGCTTCCGCAAAGACAGACGTGGCCCCACTCGCACCGTGGACGTTTAGCGCCTTGCGTACCACGTTCGTCGGCACACCGTTAATCGTCCCAGTCCACGCGTTGATGGGGGCAGGGTCAAACTCCTTCACGGCCTCGTTGTAAGCCTTTCGCCCGTCGTCCTGACTGAGGAGTACGCTGCCCGCGATGATAAGGGCTGGACCACCGAGGACTAGGCAACAGGCAACCGCCACAACGAACTTGAAGCAATCCTCAACCGCATCAAGGATGCCGCAACACATTTCGAGAGG